CTCCTCCTCCTCCTCCTCCTCCTCCTCCTTCTTCTTCGCCCACTGAGTCCTCAATGTTTGGGGGAATATCACCATTCAAATGCAAATGCCAACAATGCTGGATAAATTTTTATGAATGTCTAACAATAGATATTTGTCCCATTTTGTCAAGCGTATGCTGCTACATCCCAAACAATCTTACTTCAATAAACGTTAACATTCAGCATTTTTCTATATTTAATCGTTTCTCTACAATTTTTGACATCCATGAGAAATCTCAAGCATTCACTCACAGTGAGAATTTGTAAGCTTGGGTGTGTTTGATTAAAAACTGAGTACACCTCAAGTTCACGAGATGATCATGTTCAGGCTTCCCTCTCAGTTTTACCTGCAACATGGGGAGAAAAAGATGATGCCAACAAATAGAGAATACAAGGACCAGAGCTTGGAAAATAACTTGGAATAGTTAAAAGCTTGGAAAAGTTATTTTAATTGGACTGCAGTTCCTATAATCTTGAAGCTACCATGGCATCCAGGTTGCATTCACATAAGCCTACATATCATCACTATGTCATGTGGATCTACTTTGTGTTGTCCTTTCTGTTTGGGGAAAGATTTACTCCATCTCCTGGAGGGAAGGTATTTGAAGCTGGGTCATACAATAAAGATTAGTAATCAAAGATTAAAGAGAGACAACAATACATGCTTTTCCCCCAAACAGTGGCCAGAATCCTCCTGATGTTTGTGTAAGTTTTGCATAACTTGGAACTGTGGCTAATTAATAAGGCACCGGGATGTGTTTCGGACACATGCCCGGTCATGCACATGATTGTGCAACTGATCGTGCACTCCAGCACTTCATCGAAGAGCTGCAATTAGTCACAACAGCTTATGCAAACTTTATGCAAACACCAATGGTGTGCACTCCAGCACCTCATCGACGAGCTGCAATTAGCCACAACAACTTATGCAAACTTATGCAAACTTTATGCAAACACCAATGGATTCCAGCCAGTACATAGTTGAAATGTGGAAGTTTCTTCCGTGAGACTTAGCAATGAAGTCTGCCAAGGTGGGTAGGACAAATTATTGGAGAGTCCAGTTTCACTACTCTTCAGGGTGGCTATGTGTCTCTTGCAGCACCAGTAGCAGCCTGACTCTTTATACCAGTCCCTGGGAGCTCAAGTGAGAAGGTGTTGTTATATTTAGGCTTCACATGTTGGCTTTCCAATAGTATTTGATTGGCCATTGTGTGAACAGACTGTTGGACCAGATAGCCAGCAGAGCTCTTCTTATGTTATTATGTAACTGGGAAAATAATGGTCACATTTCAAACCTATATTGGATTATAAATATAAGTTGGAAATGAGACCACTCTTTGCCTAGTTAAATAACTTGGAAGGACATCCATTCATTTATGGAATGGTTCACCATGCTGGACACATCATACGATTCTTCCATCTTTGTCGGTGCCCTCATTATCTTGACAAAGGTGATGTTGTGCTTGTTGGAGCCTCAAATGCCCAACACCTTGGCAGATGCTGAAGTGTAAAGACCACTGGCACTACCTCTGTTCTCCTTTTGTATAAATCAAGGTGGGTGCTACACACATCCGTCTCCGGACCTTGGAGGGGCCACAACTCCTCTTCTCTAGGGCAGTGGTCCCCAAACTTGGGCTGCCAGACGTTCTTGGGCTTCAGCTCCCAGAAATCCCGGCCAGCAGAGGTGGCGGTGAAGGCTTGTGGGAGCTGTAGTCCAAGAACATCTGGAGGCCCAACGTTGGGGACCACTGCTCTAGAGAAACTTACAGGAAAAAACCACCCATAGGGGACCAATTCACATTTTTAATAAAAATGTAAATGTTTGCAAGGCTATAGAGGGGGTTGGGCTGCTACCCCTCCCCCAAAGGCAGAATTGCAGCTTTACCCCCCGGAAGATTCCAAGGAACTTTCTGAATAAAATATTTCACTTTTTAAAAAAATATCTGTTGGGGCGGGGAGGGGGAGGGGTTCTGGGGCAATGACATGTGTTCCATAGCTTGTGTGTGATCCACCTGCATGGTAAATAATGGGAGTCTGTGATTTTAAAACAAAAAAACAGGAACCATCTACCTGAAGGCGTCCAAGACCAACAAGAACAAATACGAGCGTGGGATGACGGATGTCTTCACGGTGGAATGTGTGGACCTTGGAGACTTGAAAAAAATAAAGATCGGCCACGACAATTCAGGTACCTTGGCACAAGACCATGCGGCTTTGGGGGCGTTTATTTTTCTACATCTTACTTCCATTAATTTGTGATCTTTATGACAGTGTGACATAAATGATAAGACAAACCAGGCCACCCTCTGATCAACCCTTTCAACTGCTAGCTGTCCTCCCAAAAACGTTCTGTTCATGGGGCTACCTCCCACCCTACTTAGCCATTTGGGGGGTTGTGATGTATCTACCCAATGTGTACAGACTCGATTGCATTTGTTGACAAACAGGGCATGTCTCAATGCCCATATAGTATCTTTGGCCGGCTGGTTGAGGCAGTGAGTTAGATACATGGCTGTGGTTGGGAGCCACAGCGAGTTTGATTCCCCACTCGGCCTCCTGAGAGAAGACCCAGTCTGTGTAGCCTTGGGCCAGCTGTGCATTAACTTAACAGCACCTCCCATCTCACACACTCATCTATGAATGTTCAAAGTCACATTGCCTGCACAACTGCATCTATGGATGTTCAAAGTCATACTGCCTCTACAGCTGATGTCAATAGTCTACATAAGGGTGTAGTATGGGTGGCCTTCCAGATCTTGTTGGATGGTGCTTCTTATCAGCCCTTGCCAGCATCGCCAATGATGATGGGAAATGGGAGTTGTGGAGGTGGCACATCTTCTCCACTCTTGTCTGCTTAGGCAGCCAGTGAGAATCTTTGCTTTCCTGCAGGTCGTTCTCCAAACTGGTTTCTGGAGTGGGTAGAAGTTGATGCTCCTTGCCTGGGGTTATGTCTGAAGTTTCCGTGTGGCCGTTGGCTGGATAAAGCGAAAGACGACGGAGCTATTGAAAGGGTCTTGTTTCCCGCAGAGCTACAAACCAGAACCTATGTCCCATGTGAGTAATAATGCTGGTTAATTATTTGTGGGTCATACTCCTCCCAATATGTCAGCGGGAGACCAAAGATTAATGAGCAGTCATGAATCCAGCCCTGGCGACCTCGCCAGTGAGATCTATCCACCACTGGAGTCCCACTAATGTGGGAAGTCACGTCTCAGAAGTCACAGATGACTCCTCAGCCATCCAAGGTGAACAGCATGCGCTCACAGTTTGGGAGGTTTGAACAGATGTCACCATGACCCACTAAGACCTGAATATTCATCACAAAATGAGGGATACGCAGACGCAGTCTGTGATGACAGTCACACCTCCACCTCTGGTTATCTTAAACCAGGCTTATTTTTTTAAAAAAGGAAATGAAACAGAAGGAAAAGAAATAACAATCAGTGAGTGGAATGTTCATTTCATAAAAGGAAGCCTCAATAAATTGGATGAAGTGAACAAGAGATGAAATTCTCGATGCAATATTTTTAACAAATATTGTTAGCTTGTCTTCCTTTTCATGCAAAAGTACAGTCTTTAATATTAACACATTCACTCTAACATGTTATTTTGAAGATCTAATTTCTGGATATAACTACAGACATCCACAGGAAACTGTAGCAGTGATTCCAGACATCTGATTGTGCATCTACATAGCTTCAATACTAACAATCATAAGCACTCTAAGTAAAACCCAAAACTGTACCCCATTCTTAAGATGTGACAGGCCCCTTCTTTCCTTGGCTTCAGAAAATAAGTGTAGACATGGCTGTTCATACAGGCCTTCACAGCCTGACCCTGGATTAACTTTGGTCTAATTCTGTTTTTTGATTATTGCTATCCTCATGTTTTTGGAATAATTATCTCTTTTGCTGTCATCTTTTGCGTCAACTACTTTTATATATAATTCTTTAAAATGTTGACTCCCTTTTTATGTGACGTTTTCATTAGATTGTTATTGAATGTTATTCTATATTTAAGCCACCTAGAGTTGTGGCTTGGCCCAAAAGATGGTTGGGATGAAAAATTTAAATAAACGTATAAGAAAAGAAAAACAACAACCCCTTTCCTGGAAGAAATTGCTCGGATTTTAAAACCAGTCTTAAAATTATGGCCCAGCTGCAGGGAAATTGCCAGAATCACTCTGACAGCAAAAGGTGAGCACAGCCATATTGGTTATGAATGACACCTCCAGCTTTCAAAGGACAGCCATCCTGAAATAAACAGAAAAGCAAGCCTTCTTGGCCTCGGACTATTTGAAAGACCATATCACCGCCAAAAATGAGGAGGAGAGGAGTGTGTGGGGAATCCAGCTGGGGAGGCAAGGGAAAAGGAATATAGGGGAGCTGGCCTGCCACACATATGAACCTCTGAAGCAGGTTTGTGCCCATCTCTAATGGGAAGGTCAGCCATCCTGAAATAAACAGAAAAGCAAGCCTTCTTGGCCTCGGACTATTTGAAAGACCATATCACCGCCAAAAATGAGGAGGAGAGGAGTGTGTGGGGAATCCAGCTGGGGAGGCAAGGGAAAAGGAATATAGGGGAGCTGGCCTGCCACACATATGAACCTCTGAAGCAGGTTTGTGCCCATCTCTAATGGGAAGGTTTCATGGGCTTTTATTTTAAAGACAGCCCCCATCCTTTCACTCTGACAGCCAAAGGTGAACACAGCCATATTGGTTATGAATGACACCTCCAGCTTTCAAAGGATAGCTGTCCTGAAATAAACAGAAAAGCAAGCCTTCTTGGGCTCGGACTATTTGAAAGACCATATCACTGCCAAAAATGAGGAGGAGAGGAGTATGTGGGGAATCCAGCTGGGGAGGCATGGGAAAAGGAATACAGGGGAGCTGGCCTGCCACACATATGAACCTCTGAAGCAGGTTTGTGCCCATCTCTAATGGGAAGGTTTCATGGGCTTTTAAAGCTTCGATTTATGACCTTATTTACCATATTTTTCTGTGTATAAGACTATACTTTTGTCTAAAATCTTTAGACTAAAAATTGAGAGTCGTTTTATACACGGAAGTAAGCTGAGGAAAGAACAAGAATAAGTGGAGGGGAAAGCAGGGATCAAAGTGATTCTGCAGGGCTTTGAGCCATGCTTTCCCCTCCACTTGCTAAGCCCCACTTAGATGTCTTAATTTTGGGGGGGGCGTCTTATACATGGGGGCATCTTATACACGGAAAATACGATACTCACTTTTTTGTGCTAAACTTGAATAAATCTTCCAATTAATTGTACCCTTGCATCATTTCCGGTTATGTCCTCCTACCCACTGGAGTAAAAAGGACTTCAATTTCATAAATAATATTTTAAAATATTAATATGTCTTGGGCTTACCCTCTTTGGTGCTGCACCCAGGCTCTGAAATTCTCTCCCTCAAGAAGCATGCCTGCCTCCAATCCCATCTCTTCTATATATATAGGGTTCCGAGTGCAAAACAGCCAGCCGGAACAATTGCACATAGCAGGTGCACATAGCAGGTACACATTTGGGGGCTTGTACAAACCTGATATATATAAGTGGAGGGGCTGTTTTGCACTCAGAACCCTAAGATTGTGCATCATTTCCGGTTATGTCCTCCTACCCACTGGAGTAAAAAGGACTTCAATTTCATAAATAATATTTTAAAATATTAATATGTCTTGGGCTTACCCTCTTTGGTGCTGCACCCAGGCTCTGAAATTCTCTCCCTCAAGAAGCATGCCTGCCTCCAATCCCATCTCTTCTATATATACAGGGTTCCGAGTGCAAAACAGCCAGCCGGAACAATTGCACATAGCAGGTACACAATTTGGGATTTGTACAAACCTGATATATATAAGTGGAGGGGCTGTTTTGCACTCAGAACCCTAAGATTGTGCATTTTACTGCCCCCTTGGTTGCATGCTCCATGCACAACAGACAGACAGAAACGCCTCATGTACAATTTCCCTTATGTGTGGTATTTTGTAGTAACATTCCGGCCCTTGGTTGCTATGTGGGAACCGAATTTTTCCAGTCGGCAATCTTATATTAAGTCTCCTGAGAGTAAACCCAGTTGCCACCGTGGGAATTACTTCCACGTGAACATGCATAGCATTGCACTTTTAATCTTTAATCGCATTGTATCAAAAGCTTTTACTAGAGCAGAACACCAGGCTCAGGAAAAAAAACACCAATGTTCTTTGGGTACCCACATTTACAAAGCAAATCATCTCTGTAAAAAGATTACAAATTGGCACTGATGCATCTTTTTTTTTTATCTGCAGTGTCTTCAGCCTGAGTTCAGGTTTTCATTCATTTTTCTCCTTTGCTTCCAAACGAGCCACAAAGTTGACGTCAGTCAGCTAGGCTTGAAGGTGGGGGACACTGGACAGAGCCACGTTTCGATTTTTTGTTGTTGTTGTTGTTTAAATGAATACCTTGGAATCATCAAACAAGAATCTGATTTCCCCACCATTAACCTTGCAGATGGTTTAGTTAGTTTTCTTGTTGGGGGGGGAGGGGAGATATAAATCCATTTGCTAACATTTCAGAAGTTGCCAAAATAAAGGAAGGTGCTCGTTATGTCATCACAGCGCACACGTTCCAATTAAAATTGCTCCTCGGGGCATGTGAGTGTTAAATTGCTGCATGAATGAGACAGGAGCATAGCAGGGAGATAGCTTTCAGCATTTTGGCACCTTGGCAGAAAGATTAAAACACTGTTGTCATGCAGACACCCTCTCCTGTTGGCTTCATGTTTCCTCTGCCTGGTCTAGTTACTTGTTGAATTACAAAGCATCCTTCTTACAGTGCTGGGCTTTAGCTAACCCAGTGCCCAGCGTTCTGAGTTGTGTATGTCCAATATGACGAGTGCCAGAGCAGGAATGGGAGAGAAAATCTGTGTTAACCTGAGATTGTTTTTTTTTTACCAATGTTTGCCAATTCATGCTCTGCGAGAGCAAAATCAGAGTATACATTTAGCATATTTTTAGAAGAGAAGGGTTCTCAAGTGTTGAAAGATATGTTTGTCATTAGACATGATTTTCCTCACCTACATTGCTCACATTTAGTGTGCTTTGGTGCGATTGGTCACTGGAAGGTGAACCAGTGGTGGAGGAAATGAGCTAATTATCACAAAGACACGTTTCCGGTAATGTTGACTCTGAAACTATTTAACAAACACACATAATTCGGTTTCTTTTCTACTCATAGGGAGAAAACGGCAAATGTCAGATTCTTTCCTGAATTTATATATACAAAAATGCACACAATTGAAATGCAGATACGTACTTGAAAAGTACACACAAATACATATTAATTCTTGGGAGAAAAATCATAAAAATATGTACATTAGGAGAAGAGATGAAGTGTCATTTTGGAAGGATTTTTTTTAAAGGTTTTATACTGTTCTCTTAATCTTAAGTGGCAAAGCAAGTACTCTTTGATGTTATTTTCTGTAAATATTTGCAAGGTGCTAGATCAGAACTGACCACTGGAAGGAACCAAAGAATATTTCCCCGTATACCCTGTAACCACAACACTTTAATAACAAGGAATGAGACAAACTGTTTGCAGGGTTGGACTGATGACAATCTGGCCTCAGTTCATTGAGTTCTTGTTGAAAAGCTCTGGGCAAACAGAGTCTGGGAAACCAAGAAAAGGGGGCCAGAATCTGACTGTGATCCAGTATTGACATGACCACAATTTTGGGATAGAGAAGCTGAAGGAGGGCCAAGAGACTACCTTCGCTGGTGGCGATGGTGGGGAAAGCCCTCGGACAACAATGCGGACACTGCTTTCTCTACTCTGTAACCTCGAGGGTAAAACTAAATGTTAAAGTTTGTGTGTTCGCTTCAATTAACCCATTACTGATCCAATGACCAACCGGATTTCCTCAGAGATACAAGATCTCTCAGCCATGCCAACTTGTAAATTTGACCTATGTTTACTTTTAAGTGACTCGTCACAGACTAAATCATACTAAATGCAATATATGGAGCTGAAAAAAAACATATCCATCCATCCATCCATCCATCCATCCATCCATCCATCCATCCATCCATCTATCTATCTATCTATCTATCTATCTATCTATCTATCTATCTATCTATCTATCTATCTATCTATCTA